TGGGTGTATCTTATTATCTTATCAAAGTATGAGTTATAATCAGAGGGTGCTGAGTCAACAAGTTTAAACGCATTACAGACCAGGCTACTCCTTGTTTCCTAAGCACATGCCACCTTTTCACATCCCTATTCCTTTTCCCTGGTGTTATTTCTACAATACTCTTTTAATGGCTCTTGTCATATTCTGTCGTATAGATTCTTCTTTGTATTTATCTGTAATGTTAAGTATTTACTTGCAATGTAAGGAACAGGTCTATGTAATTTGGGGCAATGCATTTCATTTAGCTAGGCCTCACTATGCACATCTGTAAGTGGGAAAATGATAACAACCTTGCTGAAACAGTGTAAGAATTTTATGAAGGAGTGTATGACATGCTTGCCAGAAAAACTAGCATGTGGCCATCATTCGATATCCTTCTTGTTGTTACCACTACTGTTATTAATATTCCCTTCTCCGCAGTTCTTTCAACAACATTCTTCTTGGGGTCCTAGGCTGATCTCATTGAGTTCATTATCTCCTCAAGCAACAAACACAAACGCAGTGACTTTTCCGTAATAGGAACTGAATAAAAAGAATATTGAATCTTCTTGTGCAAGTCTGTAGGGTCTGTTACTTCCTAACAGAGATCCTTACTTTGCTACCTGGATGTTTAGAATAGTGGCTGCTTGTGGCCAGTGCCTCATTCTCATTCGGGTTCCCCACGGACCCCCCAACCACTGAGGATTGCTCTTCCCAGCATCCCCAGAAGTGTCAGCTTATAGTCCTGGTCCATATGATTAATGAGCCTGTTCTACCTCTGTCTATAGCCTGAACTAGAAACTTTCACTTTGGAGAGCAGGTCAAAATATTGAATTTAATTTTAGTTGTATCTGTTATAAGCCAATTGTGTATTCATTACATTTATAGATTCCCTCTCCAGCCGTATATTTTCATGGCTGTTGAGAGCACCTGACTCTGTGTTGAATGTCCTTAGATTTTCCTTTGGGGACCTGAAAATGAGGCAGTGAGGCAATTTTGATAGCTAGCTATCATCTTTGGCATTTTTTTCCCTTTATATCTAATCTGGTCTGTTTGAAGAAGGGGGCCCATTTAGGCTTTTTATCTAACTTGAGTATGGCATGGTCATTCTGTATGAGTCATGACTATGGTCAGTGCCATTCATCTACACGTTTCTGTCTGTCCTGGCATGCAACCACATTCTGTGGCAAGGGGAAACTTCTGAAAAATGGAAGTGAGAAAATAACCGGAGGCTGGCCAGGGTAAAGAACCAGCATTAAATACACAGGTTCAGCTTTAGTGCCGTGGCGTGCAAGGTGGACTCAGGGTATGTACGGACCTCACTGGTCCTTCGAGATTCCAGCGAATGATGAGAACATGTTAAAGGAGCAGATCACATGACCGTGGCTGCAAGAGAGTGACAGCAGGGTATGCTCAAGTCAGAAAGAATGTTGCATCTTACCCAGCCAAAAGTTCCATTTCTTTCCAAGTGTGCTGGTATTCCAGAGGGGGAAGGGTCACATTTAGTAGAACTGGTAATTCAATAAAGGGCTCTGACTTTGCCAGAGTGATGGGGTTGGCATCAAGAGAAGAAAGTTTTGCAGATTTCTGTGTGTGCACTTGCTGTTACTGGTGTTCCTGGTGGGCGGCTGAATCATCCTGATGGTATTCAACAGGAACCAGCTGCTGAGAATATTAAAATGCAAGCATTTATTCCTCCAGAGAGACAGTAGCATCTGCAGAGTTTTCCTATCTTGATAGTACGGATAATCCCAGGGAGCATTCTCTAGTAGTTTTAACTTTCTATTTATTTATACTTTTTTTTTTAATCATTATTGTCAGTATCTCAAGTTCTAACTGGAGAGAAGAACGCCTGAGTCCACACCAGGTTGTAGAGACAGATAGTAAGCACTTAGCCCGGGACACGGTATAGCCTCTGGGGCTTTACCCTGAATTTGGATTCTCAAGAGAAAAAATGGGCATTGCCCTCCCTTGGCCCGTCTTCACGGCAAAGAGCAGCCCAGAATCCTAGTCCTCAGTGAGCCACACCAGCAGGAAGGAAAAGCCTCAGACCTCCCCACTCTCAATGCAGGCTTCTTCTTTGGAGCTTTCCCTTTTACTCATAAAAATTGCGAATTTGTTGCTTTCCCTGTGTGATTTGTTGTTGTTGCTGTTGTTTTGAGCTAGCATCAACAGTTGGGGGAAATGGAGGTGCAGAAAGGCGGTTTGGACTCAGTAATCTACTAGGTCTTTTCCATCTCTAATATTTATGAATAATGTATTGAACTGATGGAAAAATGTTGAATATGTTCATTATGAATTATATTCACCGGCGTGTTGCCTGGAATATAAAAGAGCAAAGCCGTTGCAGCATAACTAGTTCCTTACAATAAATGTACTGGTACGACAGAGCTCTGTGTCCCTTCCTGGCCCATTGTGTGTCATCCCCACGCACACACTCTCCGCGTCTGAGTGGCAACTGCAGACTGGGTACCTGATGGGATGACAGCCAGCAAGGTTCTGAGGACACGGAGGCCACCCTCTGCGAAGCCTGGGTCCTAAACAGAAGCAGCTTTCTTGATCACGTTGATAGTGCCATGTCCTCCAGGAGGACTCACCGAAGCTGGCTTCGCACAGCAGATGGTGCTTAGGGGCTAGTGTGCTGCAGGGGTGAGAGCTCTTATCACCAAAAAATAAACTTATAATTCTGTCCCTTCGTTAAAATAAAACAAAACAAAAAAACCTTCGTATGGATAACCACTTTGTCAGCTGTGTTACATTCTGATGATATAAATGAGTGAGAACGGCAGATATTTCAGAATTAAGTAACTTACTACATTTAACTTCAAAATTCATTATCTATGTTCTTCCTTCTTGGTTTTCTTTCACAATTATGTTTTGTTGAGGTTGTATTAAAATAAAATTATATTCCCTACAAATGTACTAGATAACATTGGGAAATATTAATCAGAAGCATGAGAAGTGTCAAGAAACCTAAGATAGTTTTAGTCCCACAAATAGTCAACAAAAGAGGTAATAAGGAGTTAAAAAAGAATACCAAAATAGTCTTTCCCTGGCCAAATAACAGTCAGGCCCTTTTTTTTTCTTAATCAAATACAGCACCGTAAGTGACATGCAAATATGCACCAAAATAGAGAAAGACTATCTAAGGTCAGGACTTAGAGGATGCAACCTTAATGTACAGTGGAGAGCAGCAAGTTGAAGCAGAAAGAGACAGCGAAAGCTCTGACCCCCATTTGGGATGCCAAGAGAACAACAAGTGTATCGATGAGCAGATCCTGCCTCCAGAAGCCCTCACTCCTGTTGTATCCCTTCAGAGCTCTGGACTAGCTCTTGTGAAACGAGAGTCCGAGGCCTCACTTGTACCACTTCCATGAGGGACATTAACTCAAATCCACTGTCCCAGCTTTATTTATCACTATTTTGTTTATTTTATTTATCTCTATTTTGGAGGTAATTTTTTTTTTTCTTATGCCCTCTTGAGAACTAAAACCCATTAGAGCCCATGAAGAGCAAGGATAAACATACAGCAGCCACATTTATCAATTGTTTATAATAATCTCAGAGGGAACAGATAGTAAGGAAATATGAGAAAGAGAAGAAAGAGTTAAACTTTTTTTGGAAAATTGCATTGCCCCACCTTTCAATCAGGTAGCCTGAAAACAACAGTGGCTACCTGATTCCAGAGTGGTATAACATTGAGAGCAGTTGTGATGGTGGGGGAGGGTCCCCCAGCTCCACCTTTCCTAACAGGACAAATCATTTAACTCAGCTATGTAATACTGCATTTGTCAAATAAATAGAAAACCATCTATCCTCATCTCCCTCACAGCGGTATTGCTAAGGCTGATTGTACACATGTATATAAATGTATATATTATAGTTATCTATTTACAGCAGGGGAGAACGATTTAAAAATAAACAAATCGGGATTTCATATATGCAACTGTTGTGAAGGTCAATCACTTTTTTTTTAAAGACCTTCTTAGCTAATTACCAGTTGTTAAAACACTTGCAAATGATGACTGAGCCTCTATCACTTCTGTGAAATGGAAGACTTTTGGAAATCTAAGCATGTTTATAGAGATTCAAACACATTTCTGTCTACTTATGGACCCGTGTGGCCTTACTAAAGGCAGTACAAGCCTACTAAGCAAAACAAATGATTAGCTTTGCCAATAGATACAGTAAAAAGAAAAAAAAAATCCTAAATCAAGGTATAGTATAAAAGTACAATTCTGGCTGTAAGAATGAACTTGTTCTCTATATTAGACAGTTATTTTTTAGAAAATGGGACAAGGATAAGGAGAGGATAAGCTTTAACCTATACAGACATTCTAGGCATCTGCCCAGGCTATGGGTCTGTCCCAATGAGAGTCAGACTTAGTTTATATAAAGCCCCTAAGATCAATGGAAAAGAGGCCACTTTCATCTATTTTGTACTGCTATTATACTTTTGGGTTCATTTTGCTTCTTTTTCAATCTCTGCTTCCTATACATAGACCTCAGTGGAATGGCAATGACTTGGCGGGTGGGGGGGAGGGAGACAGGTGAAGATAAATAAATGTGATATTGTTAACATGATAGGTACCCTCTGCTAGCTTTTCTCTGGTCCGTTACAAGCATCCAGGAAAGAGAAACTGGCTTCCATGGAAAGTGAAGTCACAGTTCCAATTTAGCACAATAAGGAGAGAGAGAGGGAGAAAACATACTGAAACAAGGAGTTTCTACTGGGCTATGACTAGGTTTCCTGTTTCTTGTATTTTTCCCCAAACTGAAAAGAGTCATTGTGGTAATTCACCTGTGCTTTGAGCCTGTGTGCACTTGTTCAAGAACTGCTCAAGGTAAGGCCAGAAAGATATCAGGGACAAGACTTACATCCAGGGAACTCCGCTTCTTTTTAGTAACTTCTGCTTGTTTTGTTGTGTGTGTGTCCATGTGTGCATGTGTGTGTGCGTGTGTGTGTGTGTCTGTGTGTTTTCACGGAAATTTGTGTTTTCAGAAACTATGTTTCAATTCCCAGACATTGATATCCTGGGCTTCTTTGGGTTGTGACAGAAGTGGGGATTAGTGCCTGTGACAAATGTAGCAGAAGCCAGTGCCGTTGCAATCTATCAAACATGTTGGCAGACCCAAGATTTTTCTCATCCTTGCTGCAGGATTCATTTGCGTCCTTACCCTAGGAAGAGAGGATTGACTGAGAATTTTGAGAGCAGGAGTGCACCTTTCTTAATTTTGGTCTTGGTAATTATGGGACTGCCTTGGCTTAGTGTAAACAGTAACTGGAATCAGGACCACCTTCCTGGGAGGTACAACCTGCACAGTTGCTCATGGTCCCATGATTAGGAGGGCCATGTGCTTGGTTTAATGCTCTGCTGTTGCTGTCTTGAAATTCTTAATGGTTTTTGAATAAGGGGCCCCACATTTCCATTTTGCCTTGAGCCCTACAAATTATGTAGCTGGTCGTATATGGAATTTCAATTTTCCTGGCATGCCCACTGAAGGTAACAGGCATATGTTTTTTCTTACTGAAAATGAACCTCTTTTGATTCATCAGAAGCTAATTCTTGTGTTAAACTTGGAAGATTTCTGTCCATATAATGTGGTTCCGAAGAACCCATCACTCTTTCCATCCTCCAGACAACTTGAGATGATTATAATCAAGATGGTCTTGTCTTGTAATCAGAAACTCAGTAGTAGTTGTCTCAGCCAAGTATCTTTTTGCTAGAGGTTGATACTTGGAAGAAATAGTTGTGGTATTGAAGTCTTTGCCCTTTATTGGGTGATTAAAATAGGTGTCAACCATTACGTTGAGACTGAAAAAAGAACATGGAACATTTAGGTTATCTTAGACTAGGACTTCCCAAGCATTATGCTATTAGACACAACAGAGTATCCTAAAAACAAGTTGATCTCCCAGCTCTGACCCTGGGCTTCTGTCTCTTAGATTCCCACCGTTGCAGGCCACTATAGCTCTGTGTCCTGTCCTTCTTACTTCCTGTCCTGCCTTCAGCCCATAGCAATCCTTTCATCCTTCTTGCAGCAAATTGGCATCAGAGGGATGAAGTTCCTCTCTTTAGTCTATTTAAGGCACCTAATAATCGTGATTTTTGCTAAATTTTGTACATACACACCAACCCCTGTTACTACCTCAAGGAGTGTGAACGACAGAATTTTAAGATGGGTCTGGACTAGACCCCATGGAGATTCATGGACCTGTCCACAGTGACAGTTGTTAGAACCAGGATTTCACCAGAAGAACCCAAGTCTCCGGAGTCTTAGCCAGGTACACTTTTGACAACTCAGGGCATCCTCAATGTTCCTAAAATATCTATTCTAAATGAATGGTCCACAAACCAATTTCTAAGTGTTCATAAGCAGGTGGAGGAGGAAATATGCAGGAGGAACTAGGAGCAGAGAGAGTTGTGTGTGAAAAAGAACACAACTGGTCACCTTAGGCTAGCTAGCTTCTCTGAACCTCTAAAAATCCTTCCTACCACTGATCATGCCTCCAGAGTTGTTGGGAGGATCCAGAGAGAGGTTCAGTTAATGCTAAGCCTCACTCCCAGCAGAAACTCAGGAAGGGTTAGCTTCCTCCACCTCTCCCGGCTCCTTCCCCCCACCCTCTTTCCCCCCAGGTTTATTCTCCCTTCCTGTGAAAGGAAGGAAAGCAGAGGAATCTGGTGGAGAGATCCTAGATGGTGTAGTCTTTGTGACTTAAAACTGTAGATTAGAATACCCCATCCTTGCCTGAACCAGGTAAGCCAAAGTTTGCAAGTTTTTAAATCAATGTAGCTCTGTGTCTAGCACCAGCGCAACCATGGCACAGCAGAAGAGCCCAAAAGCTTTACTCATCAACCAGGCATCTCCAGACAAGGCCCAGGACAAAAATGGCAAAGGAAATTGAGTCCTTTTCAATCACAGACACTCCCTTCCTTTTTTCCTCTGCCTCCCGGGGCCCAAAGTCCGTATGTTAATCTGACTTCCTTTTTCTGCTCTCCATCCTTTCCCCTAGCTCCAGCTCAGAGCTGCTTTAAACCAAGGTAGCTCTCTAGGGGTTGAAGTGCTTAGAGCAGGAGGTATGTGAATGGCTTAACCACCCTACAGGATGTTTGCATTTCAGAAGAAGGGTTGGAAATTGAAAGGACCCTTATTTACAAGGGTGTGTCTGCTCCCTGCTAACTGTAGTGTCTGTCCCTTCTGAGCCAAACTCCTCTGCCTAGAATCCCCCAAGTACATATGCAACTATACCCACCCACCCTCTTCTTCGTCTTTGGTCACATATGTGATGTGAACTCAGAAAAGCAAACTTTCTTCCTGGATGAGCGAGAGAGGAAGAAAAAATGTAGGTTTACACAGTGAATAATCAAACCCCAGATGATTGCAGAGGGTCTCTGTTACAAAAATATGCCACAGTAACATTTTTTTTATATGAAAATAAGTTTCTATCTTGGATAGTCAAGGCCCTAATGGGTATGGTTATGAAAGTAGAGTAAATAAGTTTAAAACTGACTGCTTTGTGACAGATCAAGGCTCCAATCTCCTGTGAACTCAGAGAGTTTTGCAGATTTGAATAATCAGTCACCTTGAGTTTCCTCTTTTGTAGAGATGGGTATTAAGACTTAGATGGGACGTGGCTTTTTTCCCCTGGTCACCCAACTCACACGCAGAGCTGAGTTTGGGGCCCTCAGCCACGAGGAAGATGCAGCTCTTCTATCCAGCCATTTGGGGAACTCCTAAGAGCACCTCCGTTTGCCTCTGTGAGCTTTTCTCCACGTTCTAGTCTTTTCTTTTCACTAGTTGTTGCTGCTGTGATGTGAGAGAAAATGTTAGCAGGAGAATCAAAGGCAGGCGATGGAGCATTAGGAGAACATTAGCAACTATTGAAAAGACATTTTGACCTATTTCTGTAGTTACCAATTTAATAGTATTTGTTGCCAGGAAATGCACTGATGGCAGGTGGGAGGTTGGATTGCACTAGTAGCCTGCTCTCAGGGGCCCTCCAGTTACAGGAGGTGGTAATTCTAGTTAATAAAAGGGTGAACTTCAAACACATTTTAACCAAATCAAATTGTAGCGGGAAATATCATATTACTGATGTTCAAACCGACTCACAGCTGGTAACATTAGTCCTCGGATAGGCCCCAAATTCTGACTTTTCAGCATTTTCAGATGAGTTTCTGGCCGTGAGAGAGTTCCCTGGGCACAATGTTATATAGGAAGAAGATTTTTAACTAATGTAGGAGCTGGCATAAATGAAAAATTCTTCATTCTTGTTAGACTTTCTATAAGATTGTCAGATACTCAAATACGAAACCAAGCCAAATTTCAGGTGGTAGATAGGAAATCTCCTAGAGCCAGGAGTTTTAATTTTTTTGTTGTTTTGGTTTTTTTCTATGACATGTTGGCAAATGATAAAAGCAATTCACTCTGCTAACCAGAGATGCTGGGCAGAGTTCCTCCAACACTGATTCCATGCCACGAAAAGCACAAGGCACAGAGAAGAGCACAGGCTTTGTGTCCCACCACTCAGACTGGAATCCCAGCTTAACCCCTTCTAACTGTGTGACAGGAGGAGAGTCACCTAACCTCTCTGAACCCTAAACTCCTTACAAAGAGAAGGGGCAAAATATAAATCTTTCCTAGTTGGTATGAGGATCAAATAGAGAGCATATGTGAAGAAATCCACATATAAAAAACCTGCTGGGCACATACCAAGTATTCAGAGATGATCATTGTTACCTTCTATCATTTTTGCTTCCATGGTTCCCAAGGACTTTTTGTTTTTTAAGAGCTTTATCCCCCCCCCCAGAAATGCACAGCTTTTAATATGATAATAAGAGCGATGGGGCGCCTGGGTGGCTCAGTCGGTTAAGTGGGTTAAATGTCTTCCTTTGCCTTAGGTCATGATCCCAGGATCCTGGGATGGAGTGGAGCCCCCACATCTGGCTTCCAGCTCAGCAGAGAGTCTCCCTCTCCCCCCGCTCCTCTCTTCTTGCACGCTCTTTCGCTCTCTTTCTCTTTCTCTCAAATAAATAAAATCTTTAAATTAAAAAAAAAAAAAAAGCAAACACTGCTGCAGCTACCCTGCAGACTGATCTGTTCGTGTTTTTGAGTGAATAGCTATTGGCCATTTTATCTTGGCCCCAATTAGCCTAGACTTCCCTTAGTTAGCCTCCTGAGGTTCACGCAGACCACAGGACAGGGAAGTAAATCAGCTGGACCCTCTTGCAACAAAGACCCCAGTTCTGTGTGTGCAGGTGAGACAATGGATCATATGAGGGGCTAGAACTCTCCACTCCCCATCCTTACCTGTCACACTCTAGCTCACCTGGAATTGGGAAAGATGTCAGACAGCTTTCTGTGGGATTGCCTCTTGCCTGGATTCCTTTCTAAACTTTTTCCATGTGCCTGAGTCTCCATTTTCACAGAGATTAATTCTGATTTGGTTCGCCTACACTTTTGAAGCTCTAAAAGCTTTCCATTGTGGGCAGATTGTCTTAAATACTGTATCTGAGGATGGAAAAAGAAAACTCTGCCCAAATGTAAGCACCATTGAATCAAAGAAACAGTAGTTGTTTTTTTTTTTTCCCAATTTCATTCTTTGAGGATCCAGACAACCTTGAATCCTTTACAAAAGCACATCAGTAATGCCATCCTCCCCCTTAAATAGACACACACGCACATACACACACATACACACCAACTACGGAAGGCCACTATTTATGATGCAAAGGGCTAGAGTATCCAAGAAGAAGAAAAATAGAAAAAGAAGGTGATTCTATAGATAGAACCTTGATCTAGAAGCCACGACATCCAAATTCTGTTTCCTCCCACATGGGACCTGCCTTCCTGTACGGACCACCGCATATGTGCCGTGCCCCTGTTTCACTGTCATCACTTCTCAAATGCGTGCACTCTGACTCACCGTCCTGAGGGTCTGGACAGGTCTGGAAATTTATTTGTTGCTGTTCTGACATACACTGTGATACCTATACCATGGGCAAAGTGTTTCCTCACTTGGAAGGGATGAAACCCTGACTCACACCTTCCATCCCTCTAGAGTGGATAAAGGACTAAACTTTTCACACAAGTATGGGAAGAAAATCATGTCATTACAATGTCCACTTCTAATAAGGTATTGATGATCATTAAGATCTAGGACTGATGCGGGACCACTGACCTGGCCTGGCATCCACGTGGACTCCTCTTTCATCCATGCACACTTTCGGTAAACATCAGCTATAGGACAATTCAGTGTGAGAGGTGCTGTGGACATAGAGTACATATCCCTCCCCTCACAGCCCAGCTAAATCCCTCTGTGCAGTGATGGCTAGTTAACTTGAAGCATGGTCCAGGTCCCTTCCTTTTGGTGCACTGAACCGTTTTAGCAAGTCTGTGGAGGGGTTGTTCCATAGCCAGAAGGTCTTCCTTCTTCCCAACTGTTAAAGCACTTATTTATATGTCTCATGTGGCACTGATTACATACTGTTCTCTACCAGAGTATGTTTATATGTGTCTCATTCCTCCTACCACTGCACAGTCAGCTTCATAAATACAGAGATTGTGTTTATACACAGTTTGTATCCCCTCCAACACCTAGAAAGTACCAGCAGAATTAAAAGGTACATAGTAAATACAGTAATTTTAATAAGTCAAATTAACAATAGCATGCAAGGATTTGGCAGCAAACTCTTTTCGAACTCCATGAATGCCTGCCCAAAAGCTAGCCTACAGAGAACAGCACTCAATTATATCTGTAAACGTAAGGATTTTTTTTTTCCAATTTAGTGTTTATAGGTTTCATTCTTCCCTACTCTTGGCTGGCAGTATTTGCACATAGTAGGCTTTTAATAAATGATTATTGAGTGATTAATTTAAATCATAGAATAAAGCAGCAATTTCCCATTTCTTTATGTTAAAATAATCATTTTGATCCCCATCTACACCTTTATGTTCAGACCCTGTACAGTACAGATGCCTGGGATTTCATTCCTTTTTTTTTTTAAGAGTTTATTTATTTGTCAGAGCCACGGCGAGAGGGGAAACACAGCAGTGGGAGTGGGAGAGGGAGAAGCAGGCTCCTCACTGAGCAAGGAGCCTGATGCCGGGCTCCATCCCAGGACCCTGGGATCGTGACCTGAGCCAAAGGCAGATGCTTAACGACTGAACCGCCCAGGCACCCCCTGGGATTTCATTCTGAGCAGTACCTGGCATAGGCTTAAGAATAGTAGTGAGCTTCAATTTGGTCTCTTAAGCTTCTTACGGGGCAGTGGAAATTCTTTT